AGAATGGACACAGAAAACAGCCCAGCCCCTGGGGAGATGCACAACAAAATCAAGAACGTACCTACAGCATCAAGATTTTTCTATAAAGTCGTAGGATAAAACACGACTTCGAGACCGGAGGGTGGGGAGAAGTAAGACCGAGAGCGCGTAGTCGTACTTCTCTCAACCCGATGGTCGAGGGCTTACTTTCCCAACCATAACCGAGGGGGAGTGCTTTATTATACATATAAACCGTCAATGAAGGATAATTAGATGATCATGTAATGAAGCTACATAACAGTAACTGAAGCGCTAGTAAAATCAATTTAATGACAGTAGGCCTAACTATAAATAGATAATTCAACCCTAGCTTCTTTGTCGGCCTGGTGGCCGTGAGGTAAAGCGTCCGCTTAATAACCTGATAGATGCAGTTCCACTCCTGCTAGGGAAAATATTTGCACATTAAAGTTAATCTTTGACGATATTTTCAATTTATTTCAAACACTCACATATCATCTGAATTTAAATGTTGATGTTAATATAAGAGTTAGGAAAAAGTAAAACCTAGGAAGAGGTCTTGCTTTCAAAAAGTAAAACCGGGAAATAGGTCTTAATTACAAAAAGTAAAACCTGGGAGCAAACAAAAACCTCAAATGCGGTTATTCCGGGAAAAGAAGCCATGTCTAATACTGTAAACGTAGTATATTTCGGGCAGGTTTTATTTTCGCGCTTTTTGCGCAAAACATTTTAGCGCGAAAATTTATACACCGCGAATAAACCATAACACATCAAGTTTGAAGACAGAAATCTACGAAATAAGTACGTTTACAGTATATAGTGAGAAGCAGCCTTCAGCGTTATATGCTTCATTACTCACTCACTAACTCTAGAACGCTGATGAACAATTAGTAGCTATCGGTGTCTGTTATTTCACCCATCAGTCATGACCACTTTCCACTGATTCATTCCAGGCTCTGAAGTAATTATCTGAACGTACACTTCAAACACCATTTCAATACCCTCATATTACCAGCAAAGACCAGCGTTTGAAATTAACGTCGGCCCTTAGGCCAGAAGCCGACTAAAAGCCACTCGGCCCCACAGCTTTTGTTTTCTGCAGGTCCTTATGGCCGACAGCTTTTTCATCCCCAATAACAAAGAGTATTATTTCCATATTAAAATATAGGGCCTACACATTCTGATCAGGACCCACAGGGGTGGAAATAACCCATTGCCCGACGCCCGAGTCCAGTGTTTTTTTCTGTTGGGCAAGCAAATTTGTGTATCACACTGTACCGGTGTCGAGTTGACCTTCCAATGTTAGTTATGTTGTTTATTTAAAAGATCAACAAGAAAACAGACGGTATAGTGGAAAAATTATCAGGGCAAGTGATTTTACATGTGTCACTGTACCGGTGTACACTAGCAATTTTAAAGTTATTTCCACCCCTGACCCACAACTTTTTATCGTTCTACAGCTTTTCAGGGTTAAGGGCAAACACTGGCAAAGGCCCGTAAAAAAGTTTGGATGGGTGTCCAAAGGACCCCACTCTTGTTACACCTTGACTTATACTGACAAACATCTGTGGACCGCAGACAGCCATAACACTATGATACATGTCAAGAGAGAAATAATGTCAGAGAAATATTGATGGAAGCTAATCACTCATTGGTTTCAGAGATTATAGATTTCTCTCTATCTAAATCTGGGCCTTGGCTTTGTGTGTATAAACTTAGTGCACACAGGCCAAATCTATTCACTTATGATGGAGAAATGGAGTGAACACATAACCACGAAAGTCAGTGAACTATACTCTGAAAATACAATTTCAAATACTGGGGACTACATATTTACTACACCCAAGTTCACTGATGTACTGATGTACTGATGCACTGATGCACTGATGCACTGATGGACTGATGTACTGATGCGCTGATGCGCTGATGCGCTGATGCGCTGATGCGCTGATGCGCTGATGGGCTGATGTGCTGATGTGCTGATGGGCTGATGGGCTGATGTGCTGATGGGCTGATGGGCTGATGTGCTGATGTACTGATGCACTGATGGACTGATGTACTGATGCACTGATGCACTGATGCACTGATGCACTGATGCACTGATGCACTGATGGCCTGATGTACTGATGCACTGATGCACTGATGCACTGATGCACTGATGCACTGATGGACTGATGTACTGATGCACTGATGCACTGATGGACTGATGCACTGATGCACTGATGCACTGATGCACTGATGTACTGATGTACTGATGCACTGATGTACTGATGCACTGATGTACTGATGCACTGATGCACTGATGTACTGATGCACTGATGTACTGATGTACTGATGCACTGATGCACTGATGTACTGATGCACTGATGTACTGATGTACTGATGCACTGATGCACTGATGTGCTGATGCACTGATGTACTGATGCACTGATGCATGGAATGTGGAATCAACAGTTCAAAGGAGTTCTACGAAATTCTCCCGAAACATCACAATGCAAATATTGATGCTCTTAAATGAAGACAGAACTCAAGATACGATACAACTCATTCCTTTCTAGTGCGGAAGCATGGAATTCAACAGTTTTATGGAAATTCCACAGAAATATCAAACACAAATGTTTATACTCTGAAATGAGGAGAAAGATGCATCGAATTCTGTTTCAATATGGAATTCAACAGTTTTATGGAAATTCCACAGAAATATCAAATACAAATGTTTATACTCTGAAATGAGGAGAAAGATGCATCGAATTCGGTTTCAATAGGGAATTCAACAGTTCTACAGAATTCCACAGAAATATCAAAATACAAATGTTTATACTCTGAAATGAGTAGAAAGATGCATCGAATTCTGTTTCAATATGGAATTCAACAGTTTTATGGAATTCCACAGAAATATCAAATACAAATGTTTATACTCTGAAATGAGGAGAAAGATGCATCGAATTCTGTTTCAATAGGGAATTCAACAGTTCTACAGAATTCCACAGAAATATCAAATACAAATGTTTATACTCTGAAATGAGGAGAAAGATGCATCGAATTCGGTTTCAATATGGAATTCAACAGTTTTATGGAAATTCCACAGAAATATCAAATACAAATGTTTATACTCTGAAATGAGGAGAAAGATGCATCGAATTCTGTTTCAATATGGAATTCAACAGTTTTATGGAATTCCACAGAAATATCAAATACAAATGTTTATACTCTGAAATGAGGAGAAAGATGCATCGAATTCTGTTTCAATAGGGAATTCAACAGTTCTACAGAATTCCACAGAAATATCAAATACAAATGTTTATACTCTGAAATGAGGAGAAAGATGCATCGAATTCTGTTTCAATATGGAATTCAACAGTTTTATGGAAATTCCACAGAAATATCAAATACAAATGTTTATACTCTGAAATGAGGAGAAAGATGCATCGAATTCTGTTTCAATAGGGAATTCAACAGTTCTACAGAATTCCACAGAAATATCAAAATACAAATGTTTATACTCTGAAATGAGTAGAAAGATGCATCGAATTCTGTTTCAATATGGAATTCAACAGTTTTATGGAATTCCACAGAAATATCAAATACAAATGTTTATACTCTGAAATGAGGAGAAAGATGCATCGAATTCTGTTTCAATAGGGAATTCAACAGTTCTACAGAATTCCACAGAAATATCAAAATACAAATGTTTATACTCTGAAATGAGTAGAAAGATGCATCGAATTCTGTTTCAATATGGAATTCAACAGTTTTATGGAATTCCACAGAAATATCAAATACAAATGTTTATACTCTGAAATGAAGAGAAAGATGCATCGAATTCTGTTTCAATAGGGAATTCAACAGTTCTACAGAATTCCACAGAAATATCAAAATACAAATGTTTATACTCTGAAATGAGGAGAAAGATGCATCGAATTCTGTTTCAATATGGAATTCAACAGTTTTATGGAATTCCACAGAAATATCAAATACAAATGTTTATACTCTGAAATGAAGAGAAAGATGCATCGAATTCTGTTTCAATAGGGAATTCAACAGTTCTACAGAATTCCACAGAAATATCAAACACAAATGTTTATACTCTGAAATGAGGAGAGAGATGCATCGAATTCTGTTTCAATATGGAATTCAACAGTTCTATGGAATTCCACAGAAATATCAAACACAAATGTTTATACTCTGAAATGAGGAGAGAGATGCATCGAATTCTGTTTCAATATGGAATTCAACAGTTCTATGGAATTCCACAGAAATATCAAACACAAATGTTTATACTCTGAAATGAGGAGAGAGATGCATCGAATTCTGTTTCAATATGGAATTCAACAGTTCTACAGAATTCCACAGAAATATCAAAACACAATTATCTTCCTGCAATAGAAGTAGCTAAATCACTAAAGACGCGGCACTGACGCAACCCGGGAGGATGGTAATAACCAGTGTGCTTAAAAACCACTTACCCACTGGCCTGCATCTAGTAAACTTTCTGTTGGGCTAGAGAATTTGAAATGTCTCTAGCACGACTGGCAAGTGAATATTAAAAGTGATTTATTCCTTGAAAAGTACAATGAGCAACTCATACTCAAGCTCTCTGCTTCCATGATTCTGAAAACCGCTGCCGTGGTGTAACGGTAAGAGCGTCCACCCGGAGAGCGGAAGGTCACGGGTTCGATCCCAGGCCGCATCATACCAAAAGACGTTAAAATATGGTACTTGTTGGATGTGAAATTGGGTTTAACGTCGTACTTAAGAATATTTCCCTCATATGACGACAAACATGCTTGTACTAGCCCAGACTTAAGTTGGTTTTATAGTGCTAGCTCACTGAGATACCATGCCGCCCTAACCACTACACCACGGAGGTGGTCCCGTGGTCAGTAAACTTTTGAACTTCTTTCACGCACTGGTGGTCACTAGATCCAGGGCAAGACCCAGAGGTGCCCAATCTGCTCCCGTTGATAGTAGGTTATGTCAATATGATATCAAGAGTTACCTACCTTGATGACCTGTGCGAGACACTCTGCTCCCTGGGAGGTTAGGCTGCAGGCGGTCAGGTTGATGGAGCTGAGGTTGGTGCAGTTCTTGATGCCATGACACAAAACTGAAACATTTGGGTTTTATCTTTTTACTTTCAACAGATTGTTTATAAGCTCGCGACAGTCAAAAGCACCAGGATATTTCTCATTTGGTAATAGAAAACCCAATGTAATTCACACCTAGCTAAGATATTCAAATAGTAGATTAAATGGTGATCTATATAGGATTGGTCTTATAGAGAACCCCAAATGTATGTGTAAATTTACCTGTGAAAATTCTCATCATGATATATGGCTGGCATATTGCTAAAAGTGGCGTAAAACCCAAACTCACTCCCTCTACCAAATCAGATGACTTATAAGTGTTGATCTTGCCGGTGCCAATTTTACTGTGCACTCATGTTAACAGTATGAGGAAGTCATGCTGCACTTGGAACGTCACAAGCCCGTGATAGTGCCGCGTGTTTCCATAAAAAAAAGGTGAAATTTGGAAATTTTAATATTAATTGTATATTTATATACTTATCCTATCTCACGACTTGCACCTCTCTCTCTTGCTTCGACTTTTAGTGGAACGACTGTAAACATTTTTCCATAGGCTTCCTTGTCCATTCGCCCGTGCACTCCATGCTGCTCTCCTTAATTAGCTTCCTAGTTCCTAATAAAGCTTGCAGCATGCTCCACTAATTGCCCTCGTGAATACCTTGAATGATCATTCTCATCTTGGAGCCAATGTTGTAATCTGAGTAGTGGGGAGGCCGGGCGGGCATCCATCGCGTGAGATAGGATAAGTATATAAATATACAATTTATATTCAAATTTCTAAATTTTTAAACTTATCCTATCTCACGACTTGCACTTATCCCATGGTTGGACGGCGGGCTGCAGATTACCCTTCTGTCTGGACAGTGCGAACAGCTGGTCTTGGAGCTGTGTGGACTGATGACAACCGTAGATAGTGATGTACAAGGGAGGCCTGTTATGCATGCACGCAACTCCTATGCTTGTAGTGGGTTTCTCCGGAACTCCTTGGCTTACTAAGCACGACTCCCAGGGAGATGGGTGCTCCTGAGCGATGTGGTGTTCGGCTGCAACATTGTACAAGACAAGGGACGCAACTCGGCAAGTAGGCCTCGCCTCACCACAATTAACAAGGTACCCCCGTAATTAAAGTCTTGCGACTAGAATCGGGCCAGCCCCTGCTCCAAGAAGGCCCCCCCAGACACCGAGCGAGGCGGGTGAAAGAGAAACACAACTCGGCATCTCAAAGGTTTAACGTTCAGTTCTGGGCAGCATCAAATTGACCCTCACTCCTTTGCCTAAGCTTAGTCAAAGGATGTGCCCGGCAACGTTGGAGGCAGAACGCAACGAAATCCACAGGAATTCGGGAGTGTCACACTTCACTGATGTAATTGCTCCATGGAGTAAGTAAGCGTGAATGTCGAACACCTCTGCATCATCATACTGATTGTGCCTCAGGTCTGTAGGGCCACGCTAGGTGGCCGTATTCCGATGCCTTGGTATGGAGGCCAAGTGAAGTAGTTCTTAAACCCATATAATCAGAACAAAAGGTTGAGATCCAGTTCAACTTTTATTCAGTATATACAAGGAAGCAGTAAGGCAAATGCGGAACCGTCCCTCATCTGCGTTGTTGGGCCAATGTAAGCTGCTGAGCCAGTACAAGAGGTCCGAACTGGTGTAGTCTCTGGACATCCGTGACAGACAGGTCTCGCAGGTAATGTGAAGAGAAGACTGTATCAGAACGCCAGAAGCAACCTTCCATGATAGCGGTCAAGGAGCAGTTGCTATGGAGGGCCATCGTCGCGGCTAGTGCACGAGTCTCATGAGGATTGGAAGCGGCTGGAGGAGGCAACCCTGCAAAGGTGTAGGCTTGCAGGATAGTGGCACGCATCCAGAAGGCCAATGTGGTCCGGGAAACCTCAGTTCTTGAAGCGGGTATGTAGAGGCGCTTCCGTAGCCGTCAACGATCCTTGGAGGCAGCAAGGTAAACGTGTAGAGCCCTAACAGGGCAGAGTATCAAATCTGAATGATCATCAGGCCGAAGAATGATGAACAAGGGGGAAAGGGTAAACATCCGATTGACATCAAGCCCATGCAGTTCAGATATACGAGCAGCGGTGGCCAAAGCTACCAGGAAGAATGTCTTGAATGTCACTTGTTCGAAGTCCTTGTCTTCTAAAGGTTCATAATCTGTAGAAATCATAAGACGAAGGACGACAGACAGATCCCAGGCCGGAGGTCTGAACTTCCTGGACTGGTCAGAGAGTCTATAGGAGCGTAGTAGACTCTGCAACTCGGGAACAGTGGAAATCTTCGTGCCCGTGGTGGTAGCCAAAACCGAGTTGATGGCGGCTAAGTAGGTAGCTAATGTAGTACCCTTGAGTTTCTTAGTAGTGCGGAGATGCTGGAGAAACTCAGCAACGACCTGAGCCGAGGTGGAAGTGGGAGATGCAATTCCCCTAAGCTTGCAATAGTCTTCAAACTTCTTCCACTTGTTGTCATACAAGGAACGGGTCGAAGTACGATGCGCTGAAGTGATAGCTGTGGCCACTCGGCGAGAGTAGCCCTTAGCTATGAGAGACCTCTGAAGATGCACCAAACGTGTAGATTGAGGGTCTGAGGTGACCCGTGGCGCAGTTCCTAGTGAGGGTGAAGAAGTAGGTCGCCCTGGTAGGGAAGCGTTACTGGGTTTGGTTCTGCCAGGATCCTTATGCTGACAACCCTGTGGCAATTAGATCTATTTGAGGCCGTGATAACGGGTAGATCATAAACTGAAAGATCTGGGGCAGTAACTTCCGCTCTGTCGGGGACGGGCGGTTGGATCGGGACAAGGCATCGGCGATCACATTTTGTACCCCGGGAATGTGTCTGGCTCTGGTTACGATGTTGAGTGAGTCGATGAGATGGAAGAACCTGATCGCCCATTGTAGCAGATTCGCGGGAGCCTGTCGAGCCTAGATGATTTACATACCAAACCACTGTCGAATTGTCTGATTGGATCAACAGACTTGGGCTTGTCAGCCTGAAGGTACGGGCGTAGAAATCGCTGTATCGGCCGAAGTTGAAGCTGGCCTCTGTACGTTAAGGTTTGAGCTGACGTCAGAAGGCCCAGTAGCTCCTGCCACTGTTGTAAGGTTCTCGCCTGAGACAGTGCTGGAGGAATGCATTGCTGAATCTTTATCCACCTGTCGTGAGGGACGAACATCATCCCGACGAGTGTCGAACAGTGCTCCGATGAATTGGAGTGTCTGAGTTGATTTTAGTTCCGATTTTGCGATGTTCAACAGCCACCCTAACTGTCTGAGCAGCGTGGTGGTAAACTGTAGCTGGCGAAGCAATACAATCGGATCCTGTTGAGCCTGGATGCAATCGTCTATGTAGCTTTCGAAGGTGATCCCTTGAAAGTGGTGGAAGATCGTTATGGGCTCATAATTCGGGTAAAAAGCCACGGGGCCGTGGAAATTCCAAATGGTAGGACTTTCCATTGGTAGTGATTCCTTTGAAGGCGAAGCGAAGGTACTTCCGGTGTTCTGGATGTATTGGAACGTGAAGATAAGCATCCTGAAGATCTAGGCTGATGAGGAAGTCTCCCTTCTTCAGGATGGTGCGTAAAAGGTTGATCGACACCATCCTGAAGTGAGGCGGTGGAAGCAGGAATCAGCATTGAACAACTTCATATTGAAGATGAGCCGGAGTTTTTTGGAATTTTTCTTTGGAACCAAGAAGATGGGAGAGTAGAAACCTGGAGTGACGGGCGATGGACCTAGGAGCTCTATCGCGAGTTTGTCTAATAGCGTACCTATTGTGGATTGCAGAGTCTGAAACTGGTCCACAGGATATGAGCGATGAGCCTGATGCAACGTCAGAGGTGGACTGCCAATACATGTAGCTGATAGCCGTGAATTAGCAGGTTGGTGACGTACGGATCTCTGAGGATGGTCCAATTCTGGGCGAAGATCTGTAATCTCCCGCCTACCGGAGTGTTGTAAATCGGAACGACTGGGGCGGAAGGTCCCAGTTGTGTGATTGTCTCAAGCCGTCACTGCTTCCCAACGCTGGTGCAGTTCGACGCTGTTTTAATGAGTCCTGGAGCTGTGACTTCTGTATCTTTAACAGTTCAATCGAGACTTGAAAGTGGGTTTCTTTATCAACTTTATTAGATACTTCTTGGATGCTACTATTAAAGAGGGAGTCAGTAAACCAAGGCTGGAGAAACAGTTCTGTTTTAAATCGCTACTCCCATGAAGAGATGTTAAGGGGTCCACGTCGGCACAGCAAGAGTTTAGCCCCAAAAATGAAACAAATGATCCAGGATAATTTGGAACTGGTCCAGAGCTAAAGTCATGCATCCTCGGATGTAAACGTCTTGATCAAAGTAAGTATGCTCCAGAGCAGAGTTAACAGCGTCGAGTGCTGCAATCACGCAACTAATAGATGGCAACATCTTTCTCATGGCTGAATCCTTTGAGCCAAATCTCGGGCCTCAATAAGGTAGGGCGAAGCAGCTAGTTTGCCACACAGGGTTCCAATATCCTCATCAACTGTTGGAGCCGTAGAGATTTTGTTAGGCTGTGGACATGAGAGGTAGAAGGATTATATCTGGGAGCAGAGAATCCGTCCTTAATTCATTTCAGGCTCTTGAAACCATCATTTAGTGTACTTGATAATTTCAGAATACAAGGTCGAGGTGGTAGGGTGATGGTAGACCAATCCCAGTTCCTAAGAGTATAAGAGTGATCCAGGTCATCTGCTGAAGTACTCAAGGGAAGTTGGAGCTTCTCAACAATCCAAAGGAGTACCTGAGGTGTCTCAACTGCTGCAAAGCTACCCCCAGGGGTAGATAACTCAGAGTGAGTGGGAGATGCAGGCATGGCTATTTGGACTGGATCAATCTCAGGAGGTGGACCAGATGAAGAGCCAGGAGCTACCGAAGTCGGATGGGCTGGAGTGGAAGGCTGTATTTGGTTCCAGGCTGAGGTTATGGCCCTGATCATCATATTTAGATCCGGAGTCACTGTAGGAGTGGAATTGTTATCAGGTTCCCATGACTCAGCGATGATCCTAGAGTGAGTCGAAGGATTCTCAGAGCGTGTAGACGGAACATCGTAAGAGACTGTAGGCCTATTAGTGGTATCAGAGCAATGATCATCCGAACGTCGGTCAGAGGAACTGTATCGAGATCTCGACGTGGTAAGTACCCAAGTAGGTTGGTAAGCTGGTGATCTGGATTCCCTAGTATGGCTAGGTGATCCGGCATGATATGAAGAACTAGTCCGGGTCGCTGTAGTTCTAGTTGGTGATCTGGTTCTGATTGGAGCTCTGGTTCGACCATCTGAATAGGATCGGCCATGAGGTGTGGATCTGTACTATGATCCCGATTGGTCAATGGCTCTGTAAAGGTGACCTAGATCATATAGGTGACCTGGGTTGGTAAGATGATCTGGATTTGTAAAATGATCTGGATCGATTCGATGCACTAACTGGAAACTGTGATCGTGATCTGGATCTATAAGGTGATCTGGATCGAACAGGTGATCTGGTTTGCAGTTGTTGATCGATCTGGATCTGTGATCTTGATTTGGTGATCTGGATCGGGTTGGTGATCTACTTTGATGTTGGTGATCTGATTCGAAGTTGTGATCTGGTGATCGGTCCGATCTGATTCTAAGTTGTGATCGGATCCATGGTGATTTCCTTAGGTGATCTGATGTTGTGATCTAGATTGGGTCTTGTAAGTTAGATGACCTCTGATGCACAGGACCCATCCGGTGATCTGATTCTAAGTTGTGATCTGGATCCATTCGGTGATCTGGATCAGGTTAGGATCTGGATCGGTCCGATGATCTACTTCGATGTTGTGATCTGGATCGGCTAGGTGATCTGGATCGGTCCGGTGATCTTATTCGAAGTTGTGATCTGGACCCGTTTGGTGATCTGGATCAGTTAGGTGATCTGGATTGATCAGGTGATGTGGATCGTAGTTGTGCTCTGGATCGTGACTGTGATCTGGATCGATCAGGGTGATCTGGATCGGCACGGTGATCTAGATCGGGTTTGTGATGGTGATCTGGATCGTGAAGGTGATCTAGATCGTTGTGGTGATCTAGAATGATGTGGTGATCTGGATCGACGATTAGGTGACGAAACCTGAAGTGTGGATTCATGATGAACGTCCCCCGGCGACGCTGTTGTAGCCAGCTCCGTCCGGTTCAATGAACTGTGGGGGAACAGTTGGCTGGTTGAATGCAGTTGGCCAGGCTCCAAACAAACTGAGACAGTCGAGGGGATATGTACCGATGATCTGGATGATGACAGTGTCGATCTAAGGTCTCCTGGTAATGTAGATGGGACAGGCAACGATGAATCATCGATCACAACAACCAGTGAGTGATCTGACGCTATGGAAGGAGGTGATTGATGCGTACGTAATAGGTGCTGAACGTCCTCAGATAAGTAGGAATCTGATGAAGCGTCCATAAAATCCTCTTGAACCACAGACGTTGCTCTCTTGCGTGAAGGTATGATTTTCTGTCGCTGTAACTTGATACGCTTGGCGGGAGTGGGATCAGATCCTGTTGATTCCCTGGCCCTATCGGCGATTCTCCGGGAGCAAACATGAAGGTAGGCCGTAAAATCCTCATCTTTTAGTGAATTACACTTGCCACATCGTTTGTTTCAGTTTGTCCAATACAGTCACTGCAAGACGAGTGAGGGTCGAGGGACCAATAGTTCGTCTTGCATTGAGCACAAACTTTCCTTTTCCTCGACAGATTATGTTTTCCCCATGATGTTATGGTGAAATAATGTCCCTAATATACAGCACGTCCACACAGTCGTGCGACAAGACTGACTGACTGACTGAGTTTAGTTTTACGCTGCTTTTAGCAATATTCCAGCAATATCACAGCGGGGGACACCAGAAATGGGCTTAACACAATGTGCCCATGTGGGGAATCGAACCCGGGTCTTCGGCGTTACGAGCCAACACTTTAACCACTAGGCTACCCCACCGCCCCTGTGCGACAAGAAGAGAATGTTCATTCAAGGTAGTCACGTGGGCAATTAGTGGAGCATGCTGCAAGCTTTATTAGGAACTAGGAAGCTAATTAAGGAGAGCAAATGCAAATGAGAAGTAGGGCCGCAACAAATACACTATGAAGCAAATACGAATCGTAACAGGTAGTGGTGTTCCGATGATCGATTGTAAAAAACATATTTTCTATTAATCAAAATTTTGTTGTTTTAGTACAACACACTTGAAAGAAGTAAACTGACCATTTAATTTGACGAATATTCACAAAGAAACATGCGCTCAAAAGCATAAAGCTATGCGCATTGTAATCTTTTAACCACTTTTATTGTTTAATTACAATTCAAGTGTCTTAATTATTGAAAACTTGGATAACTTGAATTGTAATTGTGTTGGTATATTTATGTAAATATATTTAACAGGCTTGAATTGGCTGCTGACAAAATGATTTGAATGATTTTGATAGAATTTTCGTGTACAGACTGTACGTTTAGTGAAGTACCAGGAGTATGGATATTTAAAGGGGAGACCATAAGAAGGGGAATGCATGTGACTCTAAGACAAAGTGAACAACACATCCGGAAGTAACAGCATAAACAGCATTTCATCGCATGACAGTATTAGTTACAAAAAACATTAATGAGAAAAAAACTGGGGAAAACCCTTAAAATTGGTGATTACATTAAAAATGTAAATAAACTGACCAGCAATAAAAACGCAACTCAGAATTCCTGAAAATTATACTTTTTCAGCATGAGTTTGGATTTGATACTTTAACACAATTGTTTTGATTTCTTGAATTGCGTTTCTTTTGCTGGTCAGTATATTTCAATTATAAACGATAATCGTCCACCACAAGTCCTCCGATAATCGATTGTGGATTTGGTTTTCGGTTCCCAACACTAGTAACACTACTAACAGGAGTGAGTGAGTGAGTTTATTTTACGCCGTTTTTAGCAATATTCCAACAATATCACGGCGGGGGACACCAGAAATGGGCTTCACACATTGTACCCATGTGGGGAATCGAACCCTGGTCTTCGGTGTGACGAGCCAACGCTTTAACCACTGGGCTACCCCGCCGCCCTACTAGTAACAGGACTTATCAGGGGGAAGTAACTACTCACCTTCTATGCCAGGTCCTCCCACTCGGCAGTATTCAAGGGAGAGATGGTTCAGTGTGCTGTTCTTTGACAAACCCTGGAAACACAAAACCACGGATATTTCAGCAAAACAATTAACATTTACGGAAACATTTATGTGAAAACTCAATTCCTATTAAGTCTGTTGCGTACAAGTACGCTTGAACTTTTGTAAATACTCAATAGATTTGATCTTAAATGCGTACACATAAAAATGTCAAATCTTAGCTTGGAGATTACTGAGGACAGATCAAATAACTGAGGTATAATGAGGGGTTCTATTTCAGCACATGAACTCGACAACTTGCAGTCTTTCTTATCGTTTCTCATATTACTGATCAAATATAAATAACAAACACGTAAAAAGACATTTAAACTTTATTATATTTTTACATTTAACAGAAAATGGCAAAATATCCAGTTGAGTTTGAGTGAGGTTGGTACAATTTATTTGGTTACTCAAAGGAAAATCAGGATACCCAACTGAGATGAACACAAGCGATTACATAACTCACTGACCCAAAAAGTTATCTGTAGCTCTGCATTTATATTTTGAATATTAGTACCAGTTTCAAAGTGAAATTGCAGTCAATATCATCAGCATGTAACATTTACCACAACTGAATAACATCAACTTCAAAACAATTTTCCAATTCTATAGTCCGTTTGGCTCGTTAAGTATCGGAAAGCGGATGATGAATTGCAATCTAACTTCGAAAACTAATAAACATAAAATACTCAATGAAACACTGATAATAATGAAAATTAGGATACAGTCAGACCAACTCTGTGAGGTTTTAGCAGAATTTATGTCCTAAAATTAAAAAAGTTGTTTAAGAAACTATCATTAAAATATTGACACAGTTCACTATTACTTACGAGGGAGGAGTGCAGAGAAAGGGACAGCCGGGTGTGCAAGAAAGGCTGGAGACAGCACAGCACAGGCTAATGAATCAATAACTTTGTCGGCACTTGTGCACATGCTTCTCTAACACCTGGCTGTCCCTTTTTCTGCTCTCCTCCCTTGTAACAAAAAGTGAACTGTGTCAATATTTTAATGATAGTTTGTTAAACAACTTTTTTAATTTTAGGACATAAATTCTGCAAACAAATCACAGAGTTGGTCTGATGTTTTGATTACGATCAGTGTTTCTTTGAGTATTATATGTTTATTAGTTTTTTAGTTAGATTGCAATTCATCGGTCCGCTTTTGAGCCTAACGCACTATAATGTCCCTGACTTCACTGATCGTTTCGAGGCAAGGGAGATATCTGACTGTAAATTTCCGGTTTCCACCCTTGCTGAACTAGGTTGGAATTATGCAGTTAAAATTTGGCTCGACTATGCAATCAAAATCACACAAAAATCATAAACATGGCAATGTGTCAACAGATTTTTTGAAATCCTTCATTCCATTTACATTTATATAGCGCTAATATCCAGTCTTAAGAGACTGCCCAAGAGCGCTGCTTAACTCTGTATGCTGAACAAATGGTCTTCAATCTGGATTTGAATGTGCTGAACGTCTCTACTGATGGAAGAGAGACTGGTGATGCTGCATTTTGTGAGGTAAGACCTGTTCTATTATGATAAAGACCTTGATTACAGATTTTCTTGATTGGGCACCGCCATCATCATTGAAACAAATGCTGGTGACGTGAAAGGTGGAATAAGGGACTATACAGTTGGAAAACTACAGAAGGGACGTTACTAATATTAGCTAGTGTTAAGCTAGTTCAGGAAGGGTGGTAACCGGAAATTTTACAGCGAGTTAACTCCCTTGAATAATCAAGATGAGTTCGTGCCTTTACTAACATCTACATGACCCAGAACCCTGCGTTCTCACCTTCACTAATGTCTCCATGTCCCTGAGTTCTCACCTTCACTATTGTCTCCATGTCCCCGAGTTCCACCTTCACTAATGTCTCCCCCGAAGTTCTCACCTTCACTAATGTCTCTATGTCCCCGAGTTCTCACCTTCACTAATGTCTCTATGTCCCCGAACCCTGCGTTCTCACCTTCACTAATGTCTCTATGTCCCTGAGTTCTCACCTTCACTAATGTCTCCATGTCCCTGAGTTCTCACCTTCACTATTGTCTCCATGTCCCTGAGTTCTCACCTTCACTAATGTCTCTATGTCCCCGAGTTCTCACCTTCACTAATGTCTCCATGTCCCCGAGTTCTCACCTTCACTAATGTCTCTATGTCCCTGAGTTCTCACCTTCACTAATGTTTCTATGTCCCTGGGTTCTCACCTTCACTAATGTCTCCATGTCCCTGAGTTCTCACCTTCACTAATGTCTCCATGTCCCCGAGTTCTCACCTTCACTAATGTCTCTATGTCCCCGAGTTCTCACCTTCACTAATGTCTCTATGTCCCCGAGTTCTCACCTTCACTAATGTCTCCATGTCCCCGAGTTCTCACCTTCACTAATGTCTCTATGTCCCCGAGTTCTCACCTTCACTAATGTCTCCATGTCCCCGAGTTCTCACCTTCACTAATGTCTCCATGTCCCCGAGTTCTCACCTTCACTAATGTCTCTATGTCCCTCTCTCGGAGTGGCAGTCCTTGGAGTTCAAGACACCGCAGCACAGATGACACTCCCAGACACTCCTTAAGTGCCCTGCACAGTCGGAATGTGATCTCTTTTGACCTGATTGCTGGCGTCTTCCGTTTCTGGATTGCCGCCCTCTTCCCTGAAACAGGAGCTAGTGAGCTTTACGCTGTTTTCACCAACATTCCAGCAATGTCCTGGTTGGGCACCTGAGCTTCAACGAGATGAGCGACTGCTACAAACCATTACTTTATCCAGTTTGGATAATATCAATCTTCAACCTTAAACGTATACAACAACTAGAGAATGAGTCTTACAATTCAAGGAATTTCCAATGCAGATTCAGTGTTTCCACTGGCATTTTTTACAGCTGGATATGGTCAAATAAAAAAAATGTTTTGGTTCCGATTACACTTCTTTAACTGAGCTGACTGAGTATGGTTTTACACCGCTTTTAGCAATATTCCAGCAAGATCACGGCGGGGGACACCAGAAATGGGCTTCACAAATTGTACCCATGTTGGGAATCGAACCCGGGCCTTCGTCAACGCTTAACCACTGATCTTGAGCGAACGCTTTAACCACTAGGCTACCCCACCGCCCCACACCTCTTTAAAATTAAGGGTAGACAGGTAGGAAGGAATTTGTTTTTAAAAAATTTTTAGAAATAAAGTACGAACTAATAACACATTTAGTAATGTGTAATTGTTTATTCAATCAAGCTTGTGGCCATCATGTCCACTTTCTCTATCAGAATGACCGATGTCATTTGGCGCCAGGAAAAAAACAATGGTATCTGAAAGCTTATTTTATTCATACCTCGTAAAAAAATAGGGTCGGCACCAGAATTCAAGGGTCAGTCGGGTCATCTGAACAACAACATTTTTTTTTAGGCCTATTGTGACAGGCAAGCATTTCAAATACCGGTCATTTGTAAATTTTATCGATCAAGTGATCATGCTTTTCAGATATGTAGAGGGTATCGCAATGCATCAATGCCGCTAGTGTTAGCCTGGGGTTCTAAAACTGCTATTCTTTATTTGACAACACCTCAATGTCATTGTGAAAACGTAATCTTTTTCGGGGAGAAATAAAGTTGACAGAGGTAATTAGAAAATTGATTTAAAAATTTGCCGGACACTATGACTGACACCCTTTGAAATTACCGGACATTCCAACTTTGTACCGCCAAAGCCTGGTATATACGGAAACACTGAGATTATCCTTTTCCGCTGGGTTATGATGACTCCCTGTCAACCAAGTAACCCCAAACCAGTATGTAGCCTGATGAGACGAACTTAGGTTTTTACGAATATATTCTTAGGCAAGATGAATTAGGCACACCATTTCTAACCATCAGATCTGTGAAGATCCGGATTGGAACTGATCTTCAGCAACCTTGTCGTAAAAGGCAACCAACGGGATTGGGTGGATCAGGCATGCTGACTTGATTGACACATGTTATCATATCCCATTTGTGTTGATTGATGCTCATGATGTCAGTCACTGGATTGCCTGGTCCAGACTCAACTCAACAGTGAGGTATTAAACAAAAGCAGAGATGCCAACCCCAATTTAGCCTAAGTAGTTTTTTGGCCAAAACTGATGCAAAAATTAGTATTTTGGGACCGAAATTAGTATTAATTTTTCCAAAGAATTTACATATTGAATAAAAAATATATAGACATTCTAAGAACTTGTTATTAACATTGTACTCCCCTAAATCAGTAGCAAGTATCCACATATAGCTTGATACTGAATAAAATGTGGTTGAAATTTATTGTGCATGGTACGTAACTATGCTATTTGATAATTAATTGTATTATTTTTTTTAAATTGTATATTTGTACTGCTATCGTAGTCGCATATTTTGTGGTTTGTTTTTTTTAGAAACGAATACTACAAAATCGTATAGGTTGACATCTCTGCTGACAGACAGACAGATAGACAGACACTAACCATCCTCCTCATTGGGTGGCGTGTAGTAACTCCTCACAGCCACGAACTCCAGACTCTTGTTGATCCGTAGTGTGTTCACAATCGGCATCCAATCATTAGCCCTGAAACACAACAGAGACATAAAGAGATTAATGTTACCATATCCAAGTAATGTCAATTCATCTTCTCGGAGTGCGATCCTACATTCAAACAAATCAACATTTGAGTTGACCAAGGTCAGACCAAGCGACGAAAGCCAAAGCTGTTTGAATCATATCTTACGATTATCTACAGTATGGTAATACATATTCTGGGGAGGTTGGGTAGCTTAGTGGTTCAAGCGTAGCAGTATTCCAGCAATATTACAGCGGGAGACACCAGAAATGGGCTTCACACATTGTACCCATGTGGAGAATCGAACCTGGGCCTTCAACATGACAAGCGAATGCTTTAACCACTAGGCTACTCTGCCGCCACAACAAATCTCACTAAAATATCCTGGATTGGAACTAAAACCATAAATAACATATCTACATGAGACACAATCAATCAGAGTTCTAAAGCTGTTATTAACCTGGTCAACAGAACAGTTTCCACAACTTTTGTTTTCTCAGTTCCCTTGGGAGTATACAATCCAAGCTGCCAGAAGTTTTTACAGTCATACTGTAAACGTACTTATTTTCGCATGGTGCAATTTTCGCGGAATTGACAGTTTAGACTACATCGCGCGGTCAATTATTCGCACAATCAGTAATTGCCGGAACTGCCAGCTGTCTCTTTGGTGGCCACTAATAGCAGTGAAAACAAACAGAGTGGCTTAACCTGTCAGGCGGCATTTATTACTTACTCACAGGAAATCCCTATCTGTGCGATATACTAGTACACAGTAATCCGTTTACTCACGGAAGAGATGAAAAACACATCAGTCTTATGTTCCGAATTCTGACGATCTGACGAATTAACTTCTACTGTATATGAAGCTCTTTGTGATTTCAAACAAGCCGGGTTGTTGTGAATGAGATGATTGAGTGTTAAGTGACTATTCGCTTCATGATGTATTAGTAAATAAAATCTTAATGAATAAATAAAATACTGCTGTATTATTTCTTTCCTAATCGTTTCATGGTGATCTGTTTTGTATCAAACCATCTGTCATGTGACCAATTTCCATGGCGGCCACAACACACATTGCTGTTTTCGCTAATTTGGCAATGGGATTTGGCTCATTATTTAATTATGTTTTGGGAAATCCATTACAGCAACAGTTAAGTATGATTCTTTATGCTACTATCAGTCGTCATTTTAAGATTCCCCGTAGATTTCTGTCTTCAAACTTGATGTGTTATGGTAACAACTCGGGGCGAGCGTGGCTAGACTGAATGAATGACAGGTTTATTCACGGTGTATAAATTTTCGCGCTAAAATGTTTTGCGCGAAAAGCGCGAAATATAATAGGTTTACAGTATTACCCGCTCATCCTTCCAGGTACCCATTCACTGCTGGGTGAGCATAGGCATAATGTCAGAACTTGCTCAAGTGAGTGAGTGAGTGAGTATAGTTTTACGCCGCTTTTTAGCAATATTCCAGCAATATCACGGCGGGGGACACCAGAAATGGGCTTCACACATTGTACCCATGTGGGGAATCAAACCCGGGCTTCGGCGTGATGAGCGAACGCTTTAACCACTAGGCTACCCCACCGCCCCAGAACTTGCTAAAAGTGATGCTACATGTATAACACGTGCTTTAGTTCTGGACAGGGCTAAAGCCATAAAAACTCTCTTGTGTCAAGCTGCCACACACATTCACTCATTCAACTACTCTCCATTCATCGATAACACATGGGCACAATGTGTGAAGCCCATTTCTGGTGTCCCCCGCCGTGATGTTGCTGGAATATTGCTAAAAGCGGTGTAAAACCAAACTCAGTCAGTCAGTCATCGATAACAAGACCAAAGAAAAGGGCATTATTGCTGATATATCTTCACTGCATCAAGTGATTGTTAGTTGGCTTGTTGTTTAAAGCTGCACTCAGCAATATTCCAGCTATATGGAGGCGGTCTGTAAATAATTGAGTCTGGACCAGACAATCCAGTGATCAACAGCAGTAATTAGAATAAGATGACAAATGTCAAACGACTCAGTGAGCCTGACCACCCAATCCCGTTGTTGCATCAAATGAATTCTAAAGCACATGTGTTACAATTGGAAACTTTCCAAATCCTTTTTTTGTTAAACAGAATAACTTCTTTTTTTTCACACTTGGCTGCCAATGGGACAAAGTTCAGGACCTAGATTTTCGAAGCTCTCTTAGCGATCGATAATCGTAAGTGCCATACATCAACATTAACTTACAACTATCTTAGCGCTAAGAGAATCTAGGCCCAAGATCCTAGAAAAATCCTTGTTATATAACATAACTGATCTGAAGCCCCTTCCCATATATTGGAGTATACAATCTGCATCATCTCACCTGACTCGATCTCCATTGATGTCCAGCACTCCCTGACAAAGGTGGGCCTTGACCGCAGCAAGTGGCACCGAATCTTGCAATGCACACAGGTTGTCATAGTGATTCTCAAAGTCATAGGCACCACTCTGTCTCACCTGCACGCTCTCAATCATCTTGAGTGACACTCACAGTACAGACGCAAGTCAAAATGTACACCTGTGAACATCAAGTTAAAAGTGAGATTGCATCATTAAACAATAAGAAATCAATTTATTTTTTTATATGATTGTACGGCTGGCTATCAATATAAATCATAGAGATCGATAATTGTTAACTAAATATTGATCAATGTTCGATAAATATCTGAGACGTAGCTTTGATAAAATATGCCAAAAATGTTTCAAAGAAACGGATATATGTCACATCACTGGTGGGTTGTGACATGTTTATGCACAAGTTCAAGAGGTGTAATTTGTGATAATTCTTGATAAATTAAAAAATATCACAGTATAACTTTGCTAAGCACCTTGGGCGATCCCCAAATCGGAAAAACAATCCATCCAAATGTGTTTTTGAAGTTCCAAATATGTAAATGTGTTCATTGTTGAACATTGTACACTATGCAACATGTGAATATAAATGGTTTCATGATGGTAACACAATCAACACAACTAAATGGATCTTGAATGTGTTTCACTTGTTATGGCTAAGACAGTTCAGATCGTGTATCATTACAATTCAAATGTAATCACAGGGATGGCAACCGGAAAATCTATTTTCATCTGAAAACATAATATTGTGTCATCGAATTCAGGGTTTCTCAACGGATTTAGACAATTCACAGAATTAATCAATTTGAAATGAAATTGGCGGAAATCCGCGGATCAGCTGAGAATTGTCATCACTGTAATTAATGTTCTATAGAATAGTCTTGCAAATAATTCATATTATGTTGCTGGTAAGCAAAGAACGTCAATGATATAATAATGATCTCAAATCAATCAAATTCAAAATGCCAAAATGCCATAGGACTTTGTTCACAAATAAATCTGAATTAACATATTGTCATTTAATTGACATTGATGCGGTTGTTGTTAGTAAACCTTTTCCTACTATGTATGATAGTATCTGTGTAACCAGTCTCCAAACTCTCCTCTCAATAGCAGGTGGTGATCATGAACACTGTACAATAGTAACTGCATGTCAGTGCACAAGGGTAATCTTTAGATTATGTGGATGCTTTTTCTTTTTACTATATAACGGATTACACTGCAGTACAAACAACGACCTCCCACTTTCAGCCTAATTGACTTGATGAGACACCACTATATATGGTCTCTGACTTGACTGACACATATTTAATCATTCAGTAATTATCTTTGATGATTCACATAAACGTTTATTAAACCAACTATCCTTTAATATACAAGTACAATGTCTAATGCTGAAAACAACTAGAAAACGTCATGTCAGTGTGACAAAAACATATTTTTATGAAGAACAGTAATCTGTTTACATGATCGAAAACCGGACAATATGTATAACCAATACATCACTTTCATACGGAAATATCATTGAGATTCGACGCTGGTGTGTACAGGAGTTTATCAGTTATATGCAACATACAGTTTCCGCTGTTTTTAATTCAGTGTTCTGAAAATGGTTTGTGGAAACGGTTGCTACTTGGTGACACCGGTTTTCGTGTTCGTGTCAGTGCTTGCACACGCACTTGACAGGTGGTTGTTGGTCTGTGTGCCTGTATTTAATTTTCGTTTCGATTTAATTCCAACGGATATCGCACAAGAATTGGTATATGAAATGAGTAGTGAGCGATTTACCTTCACTTCGTTTGTGGTAACTGGAAAACAAAGTTTATAACACGCTTATTTTCACATTTGAACACCGTAACACTGGCGCCATAGTTGTGACGTCACTTCCTGGACATTGTGAAAACTTCCGGTGTGGTGAACAGCTGTCCATGTTATGAATTATCCTTGGGACGCCGTCCAAATATACGATTAAGTGCAATGTAACCTACAGTGTTTGTGCGGATCGTTTCACTAATTAACTACTGTATTTAAGCAACATAAACATTTTAAAGAACACTGATGAAGGAAATACAAAATAATAACATTACGTCATGAAAACATGGGATAATCTGCTAAACAGCGATCTCATTGTGCAGAGTTGAGTTGGGCTTTACGTCACATCGGCATTATTCCAGCCACATAGTGACGAGATCAAGTCTGCATTCATAAACATTTCAAGTACAAAGTCCAAATGATATGTTTTAAAACATACATATTCATTCTATTATTAACAAACAGAAAATGTCACCAAATTCAAAGTTTTCTGTAGAACCCTTCACGACATTTATGTTTTGTTATTTTTTCATTTCCACAGCAACCTGAAGTGAAAGTGTGCTAAATTAGCAAGGTTTTAACAGCAAGGTAACGGCCGAATGATCTAACCACAAGAGCTAGGTATGGAGAAAGAAACTTGCAATTATTATGAGGCACATGATATCCACGTCTGTCATACAGACCCTGAAACAAATATATCCACGAGAGCCCGTGCAAGTGTAGAATATGTGGCTAGTCTGAAAATGAAGAAAGTCTCTGTGCTCGTTAGTTTTCAATATATTTTATGATTAATTTTTATGAACAATTTGTTTCTGTAAAATATGTTCATTTCAGAGACTACATGTTAGTTAGCTGATGATATCCATTGTGACGCCAGGAAGATGTGATAGCCCAGCAGTTACAGTTCGATTCCCAACATGGGTAGGCTACACTGTCAGCCAGGTGTTCGAAAAAGCACGTTCACAGACAAAGTTATTTATTCATTAACCTGTGCTGTGCCGTCTCCATCCGTTCTCGAACACCTGGCTGTCCCTTTCTCTGCACTCCTCCCTCGTAACAAATAGTGAACTGTGTCAATATTTTAATGATAGATTGTTAAACAACTTTTTTATTTTTAGGACAAAAATTCTGCAAAAACATCACAGAGTTGGTATGATGTTTTGATTATGATCAGCGTTTCATTGAGTATTTTATGTTTATTAGTTTTCGAGTTAGATTGCAATTCGTCGGTCCGCTTTTGAGCCAAACGGACTATAGTGTCTAGACATTTTTCTTGTGTATATATATGTGTGTGTATGTGTGTGTATTTAATTGCAAAGGCGTCATCACATGGTGCATATAGGTATAACAACCTACAGTATATAAAGTGAAGATCAATAGAAAAGTGTTAGGTTGTGTAGAGCCACCAATGGTGCCAGAACCCCTCTCCAAACTACCCGTTAAGATCCGGGTTAGGATTGGTCTTCAGTATCCCATGCTTGTCTTAAGCGGCGACTAACAGTGTCGACTGGTCAGGCTCGCTGACTTGGTTGACACATGTCGTCGTATCCAAATTGCGTAGAACGATGCTCATGTTGATGATCACTGGGTTGTCTGGTCCAGACTCGCTTATTATTTTTACAGACCGCCGCCATATAAGCTGGAATATTGCTGAGTGCGGCGTAAAACAACAAACAAACAACCCTCTGCAAACATCCGTCACACCACTTAATTGCGTCATCCAGTTTAATAACTCTGGAATCAGTTTGAGTGAGTGAGGGTTTACTTCGATACTAAAAATAGTCAGTTTGCAGTGAAAACGTACCGGTGAATTTCACTTTAAACAAAAACGTAAATCGAATACACTGAAATTAAGATTGCGAATCCTCATAATTCTACCTTGCCAATTTAAAAATTAAATCTTAGATTTTTATTCAACTTAAGAAGAAAAAAAGTTGTTTAACAAACGATCATTGTTTCAAATCGCTTATATTGGTTTGTATTACAAGGGGGTAAGCGCAGTAGTTGGAACAGTGAAACAAATGCACGTGCGGTACGTGATGAGCGTTAACTTAGACCAACCCTCCTTGTTCTCGGTGTTTCATTTAATGTGCATACCCCCTTGTAATACAAACCAATAATACCGATTTGAAACTAGGATCGTTTGTTAAACAACTTTTATCCTAAGTTGAATAAACATCTGAGATTTAAATTTTGAAATGGCAATGTAAAATTATGAGGATTCACAATCTTAATTTCTCTTTATTTGATTTACATTTTTTGTTTAAAGTGAAATTCATTGGTACGTTTTCACCGCAAACAGACTATATATTGGAGCAATTTTACGAGGGGGACACCAGAGATGGGCGTCACATATAGCAGATGTGACCAAATACTTGACCAGTAATAAACTTAAACTAATTGTTGTGTGGATCTGGACCAGACAATCCCATGATCAACGGCATGAACATCGATCTACGCAGTTGGGATACGACACGTGTCACGTGTCAACCAAATCAGTGAGTCTGACCACCCGATCCCGTTAGTTGCCTTTTACGACACGCATGGTTTGCTGAAAACCAATGCTAACAAATAACATGTTAATGTGGAGCGACCTTTTCTACGCAGTTACCCTGCACTTTCTGAATCCTTGGGGGAACACTAACCCTTGTGGGGAATCGAACCCGGGTTTTCGACGTGACGGGCAAACAATCTCACCACCGGACTACCGTCCTGTATAGCTACAGATTCTGACGGTGCAATACCCCCTACTGTAGACATTCGTCACACCTCTTAGTTTGTCGGGGGCGGTGGGGTAGCCTAGTGGTTAAGGCGTTCGCTCGTCACGCCGAAAACCCGGGTTCGATTCCCCACATAGGCACAATGTGTTAAGTCCATTTCTGGTGTGCCCCCGCCGTGATATTGCTGGAATATTGTTAAAAGCAGCGTAAAACTAAACTCACTCACTCACTCTTAGTTTGTCTTGGCTCGTTTGCTTTTTTGTTCAAAGCCGCACTCAGAAATATTCCAGCCATACGGCGGCCAGGTGTAAATACGGGCATGGCATGGTTTCAGGCCGCTTTTAGCAATATTTCAACAATATCACGGCGGTTACACCAGAAATGGGCTTCACACAATGTACCCATGTTGGGAGTCGAGCCCGGGTCTTCGGCGTGACGAGCGGACGCTTCAACCACTAGGCTATCCTACCGCTCCATTTTCTGTAATGAGTATGCGGTAAATAAAACTATCGTTGAAGGCATGTTTGAATTGAAAAAACGGACTGTTAGCCTCAAAATAAGTCCATTTGGAGATTTGTTTTATTAAATATCTAAATATGATATGATCGGGCACTTGTGAAAAGTCAAAACCTCAACCCAGAAGCATTTCGTTGGTTAGCATAAATCAATAGATCAAGCATGCAACAATGTCAACAACACAGTTTAACTGATTTACACCTAGACATCTTAACCGTTGCCACGGTTGAAGAATGTTTACATAAACAAATGTCAAAGTTTCTTGCGTTATACATAACACGCAGGTGTTCGCAAGCATTGTCACGTGGTGTCGCGATGAAGAGTTTAACCAATCAGAGCACACTTTCGTTGCACGAGTTTTCCCTGCGCGTTCATACAAGATTCGGAAAGGAAGCAGACGACACATATTTGGACCAGTGACGGCCAATTTATTTCAAACAAGTTGGTAAGAATTCATTTAAAATGGAATGAATAATAGCTTAGAGTAACTAATGGTGTTTCTTATGTAAATGATTGCTAAAATGAACATTTTCAATGTGACTTCTTGCCCTGTTTTGAATTTTAGATGAATGAATTGGAATTTTACAATGACAAGATACCTGCGGAAATATGTAATTAAATAACATGTTTTTTATAAGAATGTATTTTATAAGTCTTTCTTAGTCGTTTAGATGTTCGAAGAACATGGAGGGCGGTGGGATAGCCTAGTGGTTAAAGCGTTCGCTCGTCACACCGAAGACCCGGGTTCGATTCCTCATATGGGTATCCCGGTGTTAGGGGTTTTCGACGATGTAAGACAAAAACGTATTTTTTATCTGTAATACCATTTCAAGTTTTTATTTTACTAACCTTGACTGATAAAGGATATATTCATCTATTTCACACAAAAATATCAAGTGTTCCCTACAAAAATAGTGTTGATGGCATCGTATCGGCGAAACTGTTGCCGCTCGTAACATGCGGGTATTTTGTATGGGTTTTCGACGATGAGCCATACTTTTTGCTCCGCACTGCGAGGGAGTGTTGTGGTCACGTGGCTTCCTATGTATATATTGCCTGTCACCAGCAGACGACTCATCTAACTGAATTTTCGCTTTCTATTTTTTGTTATAAAGGCAACTGATTTGCATCTGAAGTGGTATTAACGATCTCGGGTAAACAATATTGATGTTTGTTTGCTTTTATATAACTTTACTTCCCGATTTCCATTGTCAATAAAACATCGACTGGGCACCCGCCCTACCAGTGAAACTGTTTGTGCACTCCGATCGCACACGTACTCACCCGATATAGCGCGAGCAATGCAATCGTCGAAATCACCAGAACGTCGAATTCAGCTCGTGTTGGGATACAATGTGTGAAGCCCATTCCTGGTGTCCCCGCCATGATATATGGCAGGAATATTGCTGAAAGCGGCGTAAAACCGATAACATGTGTCAACCAAATCAGCGAGCCTGACCACCCGATCCCGTTAGTTGCTTTAAATTACGACACGCATGCTAACAAGTAACATGTTAATGTGTGAAGCGCCCTTTTTTACGCAGTTACCCTGCCCTTTCTGAATCCTAGGGGAAACCCATTTCTGGTGTCCCCCGCCGTGATACTGCTGGAATATTGCTAAAATCAGCGTAAAACTGAACCGACTCATTCACTCATACACTTGTTTTATTTAAAAGACTTCTTGATTGTTTTTTGTAACGGTGCTCCACAGATACTTCTTTGGTTAATTTTGACAGTCGGGTTGCAGCGTTCGAAACTTTTTCGAGCAAAATATATTTTACCTTGTCTTGTTATGTTTTAAGAATGCACAAGACGAATTAACAT